TATTAATTTTCCTTACAATTTACTGACATTAAAACTATTTTCCATGACAAAATTCTTTTTACAGGAAAATATAATTAAGTATAATAAAATAAAAATATAATATTTTAAATACTTAGAATAAAGGTATTCTTAAAATTAATTTTAAAAAATAATTTTAAATAATTTTTGAAAAATTAATAGTTTTTGAATTATATGCAATTGAATAATTTCCATTTAGTTGAAATTCGGTAAAATCTTTTATAAATAATCAAATTTTTGAAAAATGTTTCATTAACATTCTTGATAATTAAAATATTTTCAAAATTTGCAATTAAAATTTTTCAAATGTTAATTTTTAAAAATTGTAACCAAATACTTTAAAAAATTAATTATTTTCAATAATTTACTTATAGTTATTTTTCAAACATCGAAACAAGTTGAATTTTATACTAAAAAATGTAGAATTTTGTTGCAATATTTGGAAGAAAAGTCGAAAAAGGCTAAATTTTCTTACTTTCACTGACAAAAATGTTTTCCCTGTCATTTCTCTGACTTTACTGACAAAAAATTTAATTTTCCTGACATTTCCCTGACTTTACTGACAAAAAATTTTGTTTCCCTGGCATTTCCCTGACGTTACTGACATGAGACCAGCTTATGAATTAGAAAAATTAAATTTATGAAGATTATTAATTATTAATCTATATTAATGAATAAATTTTAATTTTTAATCATTAAAGTTCGAAGAAATTGATGAAAGTGAAGATGAAAATGATGATCATGGAACAGTTGAAACAAATAGAAGAGGTTTATCTTGCAAGGAAAATGGAAGAAATTCTCCACTTTCTAAGCTTAGAAGTTTATTTATTTTGTTAAAAAGATCGGAACAGTGGAGAAATAAATTAGAAATTTGCTGTCAAGTTTGCAGTAATAAGTTTACATCGCCTAATGTAGATGTTTCCACAAGATGGAACTCTTCCTTTGTAATGTTGGAGAAGGCATTTCAAATGGAAGACGCGTTAAATATGTTATGTCAAAATAATAACTCTCTACGACAATTAACGATTTCAACTTTAGAGTGGTCAACCTTACGCACGTCATCAAAATATCTACAGTATTTTAAAGTTCTATCCGAAATATTAAGTGGAGAAAAATATATTACACTTCCGACAGTTGTCGTCGGTTTTAACTTGCTTTTGGATAAGCTTGAAAAAGCAAAAATTGAAATATTTAAAAAAAAGGAAATTACTCCCGTTGACAAAACTATTGCCGAAGCCCTGCAAGTATCGATAGAGAAACTGATGAAACATTATTCCAAAAGTAATTGGAATTATTGTGCCATTTTAGTTCTCGATCCCAAATTTAAGGTAGAAACGTTCCAAAAAACTGAATGGGGAAGAGAAATGGAGTCTCAGTCACTGAAGCATTTTGAGAATATTTTAAAAAAAGAATATTTCAATTCACAAGTAAATTATTATAAATTTATAACGATTATTTAGTATCAGTATTATTTTAATAATAATTATTTAGTAATTTGATAACTCTGATAATATATTTTTCCTTTTTCATTATTAAGAATATCACATACAGAAAAAACTAAATTTGATTTTTATTTATTTAAAAAGTTTTGAAATTAAAATCTTCATGTATTTAGATTTTACTAGGATTTAAATTCATTAATAAATTTTTAGTAACTTTTTATTATTTTGTTTGGTTCATTTTAATAAGGTTCCCGTCGAAAAGAAGTCTCAAAATGAAAATATCGATAATACAACAAATGATTTTGATGTGAACATGTTGTACGACTCAGATTCCGATACACAATCTTTCTCATTATCGTCATGGTCCCAAGAATTAAATTTGTATCTCTCTCATAAACGCGCAGGAAAGAATACCAATATTTTGGATTGGTGGAAACAAAATCAGAATACGTATCCCAATTTATCGAAAATGGCACGTGATTTTCTTTGCACTCCAGCTACTTCTGTCCCTTCAGAGAGACTTTTTTCCCGAAGTTCGCTTGTGATTCGAAAACACAGAAATAAGCTTTCTGATAACTCGATAACCCAATTGATGTGTCTAAATTCATGGGTACAATGTTCTTTAGCCGAAGAGTTAAAATTAATGTTAAAAGAAGACAATAAGCAATAACAATTTAATTATTTATTTTTTATCGTTATTTTGTTTTATATATATATATATATATTTTATGGTGAACAACGTTTATGACTATCATAAAAAATAGTTTCTTGAAAATAAAGTATAAATTAAAAAATTCAAAAACATTCTTTTCTAAAAATTTATTTTGATCTCGATCGACTTATCGAGATTCTCGACACAACGATACGAGTCGATGCAATAATATATTGTATCTGAACGAGATTTATTCTCGTTTTAAAAATTTCTTGCATCGTCTCGCTCGAATGCAACTCACGCCAATGCTTAGCAGCGGCAAAAATCAACACATTTTGGGGGGGTTAGAGTTATGAGTATTTGCACCACTAGCAGAGGTTGCGCCATTACGGCTGAAATGTAAACCATGGCCGCCATAACACTTCGTCGTATTTCACTAATTTGTAGGTTATGTTCATATACAGTAGCAGATGAAAAATTTTAGTACAATAGTTTAACCACAGAGGCGCAACCTCTGCTACTGGTGCAATCTCCTATATCTCTGTCCCCCAAATGTGTGCAGATTTTTATGTCCCGTTAGGTCTCCTTATACTACTTCGTGCCTAAGACAACAAAATGGCAAATTACACAGCTCCACAAAAAAATTCGTTAAAAGGTTCCTTCGACCAAACCTGGTGTATTATATGTTTTTGGGGTCGCTGAAAACGAATCTAAAGTCCGTTTTGCTCCATCACGTCAGGATTTTTCCTAACCTCAAAATACATATCAGATTTTTCGTGACAAATAAAATTCTATAAATATAGACGGATTTACCTCAATCTTGGAATTAAGGCTTTATTGCGATTGCTGATTACGAACTTAGAGGCAGATTTTCAAAATACAAAATGTCGGATCAAATATGGCGGTCGGTTTTTTAAAAAATTCTTGAATTTTTACAAAACTTGGTATCAAGGAGTTTTTGGGGTCGCTGATTACGAATTTAAAGTCAGATGTTCTAAATAAAATTGAAGGATTTAATATGGCGGTCGGGTTTATAAAAATTTCTTGAATTTTTATAAAACTTAGTGAGTTTTTGGACTCTGACAGATCACGGAACAACTCCGTTGCCTGCCGTCACAACGTGGAGTTGCCGTGAATACAGGCCCACAAAAGATTTCATGGTCAGTGACCTTAAAAACACCTATATACCAAGTTCTGTAAAGATTCAAGAAATATTTTTGTAAATCTCACCGCCATATTAGATCCTTTATTTTTATTTCAAAAATCTGACTTTAAATTCGTAATTAGCGACCCCAAACCCTGGCGGGTTGGGTTACCGTAAATATACCCAAGTTATGGTAGATTTAAGGTAGGTTTTGGGTAGACTCAAAAAATTACTATTATTCAATGAAATATTATAAAATAAATTATTGGGAATAATAAAGTAACATTTGTAGATTAAATTTTTGAATTATTTTATGTAAATTGAACAATTATAAATAAATTATTGATATGTAAAAGTAACAAAGTATAGTTTCCAGTGAATATAGTGTGTTTTAAATAGCATATTAGTAAATAATGAAAAGAAAAAATTAGGAAAACTTATTTAATTTAACAAAAGTAACTTAAGGGGATGTCAAAGTCGATGCGATTTTCCCATTGAAGCTCAATGCAAAAATCCAATCGACTTTGACATCCCCTTAAGTAATTTAACTTTGGGTACAGCTACACGAACTTATGTATGCATGATGCATGCATGCAGAAACATTTGACTGTTCACACCTCAATTTTTAGCTTTCGAAAAATCAATTTTCTGGCGGGATATTTAAAATTGACTAAAATTTAAAAATAACGTATTACTAATTATTACAATAAAAAATGAAAAAAAATTGAACGCTTATTACCTATAAGGAATTAATTGTAAATAAATTTCTCTTAATTTGTGGCATATTTTAAATAATAATAAAAATTCACAATATTAAAATATGCCATAAATTAAGAGAAATTTATTTACAATTAATTCCTTATAATAAACGTTCAATTTTTTTTCATTTTTTATTGTAATAATTAGTAGTTCTTTATAATAGTTGTTTTTTGTGTTATAAAATTTTAGTAAGTTCAGTTATGTTTGTAAAATTACGGTTTTTATTTTGTTATCACGAGAAATTGAGGTTATGTTTTTTTTAAATTTATGAACTTTTAACAGATTTTCACCTGAAGAGGATATCAACGTTGATATCGAAACGTCGTGAGTGACGGTTTATTACATTTTTTAAATAAATATGATTATCCAGTATTTCCTGAAAATCGTTTTTTTAATATATGCATATCACTGGATGTACGAAATTTTGAATTTATTAACAAAAGTAATCATTAAAGCTATTATTTATTACATATTTAGGGCAAATTAATATTTACTTATTGAATAATTAATGTTTAAAGTTGGAGATGTCAGTTCTACCGTGAGATGTATGCGTGTGTGTATAAAGCGTTGATAATATACTACACTGAAAGACTTTTCGTTTTAAAATTTAATATATTTTATTTCAAAAAGGGGAAAACGCTGTTTTTGTAGTATTTAATCATATGACTGTAATAGTTTTTAACAATACAATACTGAAAATTAATATAGTCCATTTGGAAAATTAGTATAGTATTATGTGGAATATTATCATAGAATTAAATTTAACATGTTTTATATGAGATATTGACAAGATTATTTCATATATAAGTATAAAAGTACTATAATTTAGAAAGAATGTTTTCATATTTTAATATGATTCTATACCAAGCAAAAATAGTATAACACATGTTTCCAAATATTGTAAGGGAATGACTCAATTTTTCATATGGCATCTTATTAAATGTTCTCCAAATCGTTCCGAGTGATCCCGAGAGTTTCCGAGTATTTTTGTTCGCATCGTTCGCATGTATTTTAATGGCTCAACGCTTATTCAGTGTAAACAGTGCAAATTGTGAACAATTTTTAATTACATGAAGTTTTAAATAAAAATATTCATCAAGGAACAAGACGTGAGTATGATAAAGCATTGAAAATTATTATTCTCAAGTTGTCTAATGTGTAACCTGTGTAACTAACATCGCATTGTTTTTGAGGTTAGGTTAAAGATCAAACTTTTATTTCTGTTGGTAGAATTTTTTCAAAAAGTTCTTGCGGTGAGATTTTAATTGCATTTAAATAAGATTCACTAAAAAAAGTCAAGAGAAGATAAGATGTTTGCCGAAAGGGAGGTAATTGTTGAATTTGTGTATATGTGTATAAAGTCAGAATTTTAACAACTTGTTTTTTTTGTTTACATTTATATTTTGAGCAATAATAATTTTTGGACTAATATGTTGTTATGTTATACACATAGATTCAGTTTCCTGGAATTTCGGTCCCTAATGAAATTCTTGTGGAGAATTTAAATAATGGAAATAATATAGTTGTTTTGGCTGAAGTGAGTAAACTTTGATAATTACCAACCTTGATTTGTAAATGTAAAACTAATAAATTATTACAATGGTTTCTGTTTGATTGAATTTTTTTTATTTCTAATAATAAAAAAATATTTAAATGAAAAATATAAAAGAATTCATAAAAATAGAAAATATGTAACATTCATTCTGAAAAAATTTTACATTTTGACTACTGTTGCCCGCGAGACGAGACTTTGCATGTAAAATCCGAGACGAGACCGAGACTTGAAATGGCATCGTGTCTTCTCGTGGGTAGCACTATTTTTGACAATAATTTTATTTGTTATATTTTTTTAATAAAGGGAAGAGAAGACAATCAGCCCGTTGTGATTAGAGAAGCAACCCAACAAAATAACGTCAAAGAAAACAAATTTAAATCTGTAAGTTTCTTAATAATTATGTTATTATTTAAATATAAATATTCATTTAAAAAAAATTTTTTCTTTAAATCTTTTACAGGAACTTCTGTCCTTCTTAAATAAAGATCCTGATGGCAAAATAGTTTTGATACATTTTTTTTTGGGAAAACATTTTTTGGGAATAATTTTTTTGGGGAAAATTTGACCCCCCACCTAATTAGCTATCACACATTGGTATTTTTTCAACTATCATTTAAATTAAATTTAACAGATAAATTGTAATTTTTTAGTTACTAATTATTTTTGAAATGTTTGTAATATAGTTTGAACTGGATTTCAACATTTTGCAACCGAATAAATCATCTTTGTTACGTAAAAGATGTCCTGTGTTGAAAACCATATTAATTGAACAGCTTGAAGAAGAGGCAAAAAAGTTGAAGAAAAAAAAATTAATAAACTGCTTCTTGACGACTTGTTATTATTAAAATTATTACCAGGATTAAATACAAGTATGTATTAATAGAAGATGTTGTTTAAAGTCAGTTTTTGTTTACAATATTTGTACTTAATTTATTTTCTTTTAGATTCTCAAGATGCCATTGTTCTACACCTTCTGCAAATATTAATTGGAAGTGATCCTGTTGGAGGTAAACGAAAAAAGAATCAAAATACAGAAGAAAACCGTGATTATCAGCCTGCAGAAATACGTGAATGTTTTATAAATCGAGTAGAAGTAAGTTGATATTATTTAATTTTTTTATCTATTGACTCAATACATTTTAATTTAAACCTTTATTTTTTAGAAAACTGAAGACATAGAAGCTAAAATTGCGGATCTTGAAAATAGACTTCGAGTTAGAAAGGGAACACTGCAGCCTATTATTGTAATTACTGGATCTGTAAACGAATATTGAAGAATCCTACGTAGTGCTCAATAGTTTTCATTACAAATGCTCTACCTGTTTAGATGCGCTCGATTTGAATTTTAAGATCTTTTTTTCTTTAGACTGTGCGTACCCAAAAGCGTCTTCAACTCTTTGGAAGTTCATCCAAATCGTTGCATACGATATTCAATTGCCGCGAGATGTATTGATTAAGTCGATTAAGGAATTGCTTGGATTAAGCAGACAAAAGCTTCAAGAATCGGATTTACATGTTTTTGTAGGGAAAGAGTCAAGCTTTCGATATATTATATTTTTTAAAAAATCAAAATGGGCCCATGGGGAGAAAAACACAAAAATATTATAAAATATTATTAAAATTCAAAAAAAATTACTTAAATTTTTTATTTTTAAAAAAACTAATAGCATTTTTGAAAATCTGGTAAAAAATGCTTTAAAAAGCACCCATCAAAAATTAAAATCGACTAATTGTAATGAACCCAGATAACAAAATGTCCGCTAATAGGGTGCGTATTTGCCGGACCTCGGGCCGATTAATCGGACCGAAATGCCGGCACATAAGCAGCTGAATGTGCGCGCCATAGCTAGCGATATTGCCAGCCCGTCAGTCTGGCACAGTCGTGCCAGAAATGGTCCGGCACGAACGTGCCTGCTATTTGTAATCTGATAAAATTATATTTTTATTAATTTTAATTATTATTTTATTAATTATAAGGAATTAACTATATTAATCTCTGTGATTTTTCATTCGTTCTGTTCGCAGTGTGAAGTTAGTTGTTGTTTCCTACCATTTTTCATAATTTTCTTTTTCAATATTTTTAATTTTCATTAAAATTAATATATTGAAAATCATTGAATTCTTGCAAAAAATTTGAGAATAATTGAATTCCTTCAAAAAATCTCTTTAATTTATTGAATATAATCGATTTTCTTAATAATTTTCATAAATAATTTTACTATTAAACTTTTATTAAAAATTATTCATTGAAAATTAAATTCTTTTATAAAATTTTATTAGAATTTTTCTATTAATTAAATTTTTTTGAAGTATTTCTATATATTCTTTTATAAAAAAGTGTAATTTTTCTAAAATAATTTGAAATGAAAATTTTCAAATAATTGAATTAAACAAAAAATTCTTTTCAGCTTTTTAAAATTGTCAATGAATTTTATTAAAAATTTTAAAAAGTTGAATTGTTTTAAAGGATTTATTGAAATTTTAAAAACAAATTCTATTTTTTTCGAAAAATATTATAAAAGTTTTGAAAATACTTGAATTCCTTTCAAGAAATTTCATTAAAAAGTATTGCGAACTTTTGCAAACAATTTTATTATTTATAGAAATAATTGAAATTTATTAAAATTTGAGAAAAAAATTTGATTATTTCGAAAAATTTTATTAAAACGCAAAATAATTAATTTTTCTTTTTCAATATTTTTAATTTTAAAATTAATGTATTGAAAATCATTGAATTCTTGCAAAAAAATTTAGAATAATTGAATTCCTTCAAAGAATTTTATTATTTATGAAAATAATTAAATTCTCGCTAAGAATTATTAAAAAATATTTCAAAACCCTAATTAAATTTATTTTAAGAATTATTTTCAATTTTTTTTAAATAATTCAATTCCTGTGAAAACATTAACTAATTTTTATAAATAATTGAATTCCTGAGAAGAATTTTACAGATTTTAGAAAAATAATTGAATTTCTGTGAAGAATTTTTATGATTTAAGCAAATATTTGAATTCCTACGAATAATTTTACTAATTTTAGAAAATAATTGAAGTCTTTCGAAAAATTGGAATAATTTTTTATTTTTGAAATTAATTGAATTTCTGTGAAGATTTTACTAATTTTTTTTATTCAAGAATTCAATTACATTTTCACAAATATAATAAATTTCCTGGAAAGAATGCAATTATTTTCAACAATTAATAAAATTCCTCACAAAAATGCAATTATTTTCTAAAATTAATAAAATTCTTCACAGGAGTTCAATTATTTTCAAATATTAATAAAATTCTTTAAAGAAATAGTTATTGATTTGTGTTTATTCTTAATAATACAATATTGTCCATAAATAATAGATTTCTTCAGAGTTATTCAATTATTTTCAAAATTCAATTTGAAAATAAAATTTCTTCAGAACAATTTTATTATTTACAAAAATAATTTAATTTAGCAATTAATTTAACTGCGACACTTAAAAATAATGGAATTGCTTCCAAGGACTTATTAAAATTTTAGAAAATAATTTAATTCCATCGAAAATTTTTTTAAAAATTAAAAAAAATGAATTATTTCGTGAAATTTTATTAAAATGAAATTTTATTAAAATGAAATTCATTTTATTGAAAATTATTGGTAATTTTTGCGCAAAATTTTATTATTTCTAAAAATAAGTGAATTTAATTTTTGAAATATTTTATTTATAAAAATAATTTAATTCATACAAAGAATATTGTTCTTTATGAAAATAATTGAATTTTTGCGGAAAGAATTTTATTGAAAATTTAGGAATTAATAAACAAGAATAATTAATTAGTAGATTAGTTAAAAATTTAATTTTTTGAAAGTTTGAATCTGAAACTTTTCAAAAATTCATATTTGAAAATAAAATGTTTTGTAATTTGCATAATAATAATAAATTCAACAAAATATTTCGCGCGTACCATTTACTAGTATGTATAAGGATTCAATTTTAAAAAAAAAAATTTTTTTATTATTCGTAATACACTGCAAGCCCCATCAGCGGTCACCCGATCAGTGGTCGCTTGTTTACGTCGTTTGTAGATGGGGCGGGCGAGGGGCAAAGAGGAAGTCGAAAAGTTGTGGCAGTAGCGTATACATTAAAGACGCTCTGGCCCCTTAAAAAAAATTCAGTAGTCAAGTAATGGTACCCCATCATAAAACAGTTCGTACGGTCCTATATGTTTACGCCCGATCAGCGGTCGAGCACCCCCGGAGCTGACCGCTGATCGGGCTTGCAGTGTAATACAAAATTATTATTATTATTATTTTAATAATCTATAATAATTTTTTATATTATATAACTTTATATATTATATATAAATATAAATTTTTAAGAAGAATGACATTCATTTTTTTAATTAATATATTATACCAGAGCAGATAATATAATAATTCAACATTAATTCAAAAGAAACAATGTAACTATTAATTCTGTTAATAATTATTTTAAGTTATAATAATTAAAATATATTAAATGTAATTACTAAATAACAAAAAGAAATAATTAATAAATAGCAAATTATAGAGTGTTGAAAACATTCCGGCATATTGCAGGCACACTTGGTCTTGAAAATAATGAACGGCAAGAACAGTGCGTAATAGCCGGCACGCGGTCCGCCGCCCATCGTGCCTGTGACGTGCCAGGCACGTTTGTTATCTGGGAAAGTTATGATTAATTGAAATTCACCGTGCGCAATGAAAGCAGATAAATTCGGGCCCCTGTAACTTGGCAACCCGTCATACTAGGTCAGCCATTTTTACAGATTTCAAAAAGGTCCACTAATACTACAATTTAAAAGTAATTATACAAAATTGGAGACTATAAAATTTTTGGCGGTATCACTTGGAAAATTTTTACCCATATATATATAACAATAATGTAATTTTTACATTACATGTCACATGGAAATTAATGAAAGCGTGAATGCCAATGAGACGATAATGAAAAATATGTTCATTACATTATTTTTGACTTATTAATTATCAAAAATAAATTACATTTAATTACAATTAATTATTTATTTGTTATTTTGTTTCTAATAGTTTTCTAGTAAAAATTAATTAATATTATTTTCATGTCATTAACATTAAAAAATTTAATTATTCAGAAGAATTCTACACAAAATCACTATTTTACTAAATTTATTCAGAGAAATCAGGAAAAAGTCAGAAAATTTTGTCAAAAATGCTGGAATAATATTCAATTTGAAGAATTCATAAGAAAATTCTGAATGTTATTCTTCAGCATTGAAAAGATTTTATATATTTCAAACTCTTCCTGTTCTTAACAATAATTAGACTTTACAGATTTAAAATTGATTTTCTTAAATAATTTAATTTTTGAAAAACTATCGAGAAAAAATTATTTTTTATTAATTATTTTAGAATAATTTTTTATTTAAAAATTAAAAAAATAATTGAATTTTATGAAATTTGTATTTAAATTTTTTTTATAAATAATATAAATAAGGGAGCGTTCACAAATTACGTAACATTATAAAGGGGAGGGGGGGGGTCTAGCTATTTGTTATGTACAGCAGAAAAAATGGCGCTAATGTATGTAACAGTGTGTTACATGGGGGAGGGGGGGGGTCAAAATTTTCAAAAATTAGCGTTACGTAATTTGTGAACGCTCCCTAAGTAGTAAATGTCACGCCCGCCAAACAAAGTATTTAATTTATTATTATCATTACTCAAAAGAAATTCGATTATCTTTACAAAATTTCAATAAAAAAATCGAAAAATTTATGAAAAATTACAAAAATGTTATCTTTTGAAATTATTACAGGTGAAAGCTAAAAAAACGCGCGCTAAAGCGCGCGTGTAGTTTCTCCTTGTATTAATAGATAATTAATAATAATGCCTATTAACAATAAAAACTGGTACTTAATTACTTAACTACTTAGTCACAAAAAAAATTAAAAAATTAAAAAAAATTTTGTTAAAAATTAAAATTTACAAAATATATCACTGCTTTGCTAACTTTGCATAAAATTTCATAATTGTGCCTTCAAAAAATGAATTTAAAAATATTTTGATAAAATTCTTTATCAGACTTAAATTTTAAGAAATTTTAATTATTCAATAAATTATTTATTTTTGCATTTAAATTATTGAATTATCTAATAAAAATTTATTTAAAAATGAATTTCAGTTAGTTCTACATAATAATTGAATATTAAAAGCATTATAGCATGAATTTTAAGAAATAATTAAATTTTAAAATGGTTCCAAATTAAATTCTTTAAAAATTTGTATTTTTCATACTTATAACTAACAATTCTGTAGAATTAATTATTTTAAAAAAGTTTAATTGAATTTTTTTCTGAAATTATTTGAAGTATTTATTTTTTAATTCGTATTTAGTGGAAGAATTTCTGAATAATTTAAATTTCGTAAACAAATGGATTTTAAAATTTTCAAAGAACTTTTTTCAAAAATTATTAAAAATAATTTATTCTTGTGGGAAAATAATAATGATTAAAATTTATTTAGAAAAGAAGTTATTGATATTTTCAAATAATTTTAGAATTAAAGAAATTCGTAAAAAAATGTAATGGAACATTTTTTGGAGTATCTAATCAATTTTAGAGTGAATCAGAATATTCTTTAGAAATAATGAATAATATAATAATATTAATAATTTTTTTAGATTAATAAAAATATTTTTGAATTATTTGAGAAATAAAAATAATATTATTAAATTAAAAAAATAATAACAAAATAAAGAAATGTATAATACCTATTATCCATCAAAACATATAAAAAACAAAAGCTTGAATTTTGTTATAAAAATCGTTATTTTATATTTTATTTCTATTTTCTATCAAAACGAATAAAAAACAAAAGAATAACCGTGACTAACTTCAGGTATATATATATAGTAAAAATTGACGTCAAGATGATTGACGATTTCTCTTCTTAATAAATATTAAAAAATCATTAGTTTTGATATTTAATCTGTTTTAGGGAAAATAGAGTGAGGGACATAAAGGTTAAAAGTTCCAGAAATTCGTTCATATATCAATAGTTGATTTTCTTTTTTTTCTTTTATTCTGAATTTTAATTAGAGATGTGCCCATAGTTCGAATTCGAACGTTTCGAATCAGCTGTAGTTCAAATTCGAATCGAGGATTTTGAATATCATTTACTTTAAACTCTCTAATTTTAAATTAGCCATAGCAACTAGAGTTCTACTGATAATTAGTCAAATTTTACTAACTCAAATTATAAAGAATAAAATTTAGTTTCATATTTCAATAAATTAAAAATGAAATATGTTTATATTTATATAATATAAATATTTATGATAATAAAATAAATAATAAAATATGTTTTATGATATTAACAATATCACTTTATTGAATAATTTATTGAAAAATTCAAAATAAATTCGAATTCGAATCATCTTTATATTCGATTGTAGAATCGAAGAAATTATAGGATTCGATTTGATTGGAGAAGTAAAATCTCTGATTCGCACATTTCTAATTTCAATAAATCGTTTAGTCAAAAAAATAACTAAGTATTTGGTGCACAAAATAGCATTTAATATTATTAAAGATTAACAATTTGTTCTTTTACTATAATATCAATTATTCTCTCACTGATGCCCTTACCCTAAACTTTAATTTCGGTAGCTTAACATTTTATTCATTTTTCCTTTCAAAGTTATGAACAATATATTAGAATAAATAATAAATTTAATAATCGATGATATTTTAAAGTAAAGTCTATTAAAATTGTTGTTTTCAAAATTATCTTAAGGAATAGACAGATGAGAAACAAGTTTTCAAAACCTGAGGAGAATTTGAAAAAAAATGTTCTCACATAACCATTAACGTTAATTTTAAGATAGAAAATTTGTATTAATTTATTACTATAACAATTTTAATATTTAAGAGGTTTTGTTTTTAATTAAACTTTATCATAATTAAGTGATTAAAACTTTTTGGTAATTTTTTCTAGTAAAAAACAAAAAAGTTATAAGTCATCTTGGTTATGTCAAAAAGTTTGTAAGTTGGAAATTCTTTGTTAACATATTTTTTTCTTAAATTCAAACTTGATTGACCGATTTAAAATGTCCTTAAAATATTAAATTCATATTTATCTCCATTTTTTTGTAAAATGGATTTATCAGCGTTTAAAAACTTGTTTCTCAAATATAGAAATTGTTGGAAATCAATATCAATACACTTACAATAGACGTCACTTTGTAAATTGTAAAGCCTTTCTTATGACGATCTGTCTCGGTAATGACGAATCGTCTCACCCATTTGTCTTTGACAGGAGGCATTTTCAATAGCTTTTGAATGTTTTATTTAAATGTATCTAGAAATGCTGCTATTTTAAATAAATTAACATGTTTATAAGTGAGGTTAGGGCAATGTTGATTTGTCAGAGTTTTTGGAGATAATGACTTATTTATTGCAGAAATGAATATACTATCCATAATCCATTTCAACTTGTACTTGATGGTTAAAAAATATATTTTATATGGAATAAATATTTTTTTACATTGACATCACATAAAAACGCACTATCACAACAATAACCACAGTATAATTCCATAATCAATTGAAGTATTAAATTACATTCTTCCTGAAGGAATAATATGTAAATTGATAATAAGTCGTACTAAAAAATCTAAATATTTAATTAAAATGAATTAAACATAATATAATTGGATTAAAAATATAAAAATTTCATTTATCTTCCGGTCAAACAAACTAACTATCGAGCTTTAAATATTAATATAGAGTTCAATAAAATTAGTGTAATCTATAAAAAGTGTATATTTTTCTTAATTGTTTTTATTCATATAAATGAGAAATTTATCTCGATAAACAAATATTAATCTTTGTATATTTTAAAGAGTTGTTTTATTATCAAAGAAATTTTTAATAAGTAAAGTTTGAATTTGACTGAAATAGTAATTTCCTGTCAGAGTATGCAATATGGCTTCGTCAGCTGTTCTGTTACTGCCTTTTTCCTGTTCACGCTGTTTGCATGAAACGACGTTAGTTATCAAAACAAAGGGTAAAAAGTGTGAAAATTGTCTTCTTTTGCAATGAGTGTATAATTTCCAAAGTTACTCAAAGTGTTAAATTATAAGAAAAAGAAATTTAGTGATTGGATTAACTGATAGATTTAAATATCATCTTAGAGCAGTCCACGCATGCCTCAAACTTTTTTCAATATATACATACTGTAAAAAATTCTGATTGAAATTTCACACGAACCACGATGGACATAAAGTTACAATGGGCCAACGTGTGATTTTTACATTTTGATTATAAAATTCTCATCTGATATAAAATTTCAACAGAAAACTAATATATACTGAACATAACCTTAAAATTTATTATATTCACTTTTTCTCTTGCACGTTTATACATAATTATATACTTACATAGAATTTTTTAGATAATTATTTGAGTTTGTTCCAATTATAAAAATTAACACTTTTTTATAATAAAGTTAATAATATATAATATGTTAAAAATTAAACAAAGATTTTGAACTATTATCACTCCCGGTAAATTTACACATACTACCATTGGTGAAATGTCCAGGTTTTTATTGAAAATTCACACGTTGGTTGATTATAACTTTATATGCATACAGCGTTGCTCCTTTGAAAATTACACATTTCTGCTAAAATTAATTGAATGTGTTAACATTAAATCGACTAATTAAAATTTTTTTAATCTAGTGATATTCATACGTTATTCTTAGGAAAATAATTATTCATATGAAAATTCAGAAAGGAGTTTTAACAGTGTATTTATATTATTGTTTAATAATCATCTTTAAAATAACTATAATTCTCCTATATTTCCTTTTATATTAAATGACCTTCATATTATTTATTTCTTTATGGATTTTACATTTAAGTTTCTTGTTTCTTGAACCTCAAAATTGACAGTGGTCACAAGTTTCAGATTATCAATTTCTCTGACAATTTACTGACATTAAAATTATTTTCTCTGACAAAAATTCTTTTTACAGGAAAATATGAAAGTTTACGGTAAAGGAGTAAAATTTATGAATTTTAATAATTTCTAAAAATTACTATTATAAGCCTTCCAGAATTCAATTATTTTATACAATTTACAACTAAACTTCATCTCTACATCAATTATTTTAAATAATTTTCCGAAAGTTCTATTAGAATTCAATTATTTAAATTTTAAATACAAAAACTCAATTTTTTATAATAATTGTAATTGTCCACATTTTTTTCTTAAGCTGTTAAGGTATAATATTTTCAAAACATAATAAAGAAATTTCTACAATTAACTTTTTAAAAATGTTTTTAAATATTTTTAATCAATATACAATTGAAAAATTTCCAAAGAATTGAAATTTAGTGAAATCTTTTAAAAATAATCGAATATTTGAAGAATTTTATTTATAAATATGACCATAATTTCTCCGAAATTTTAAAAAATCTAAAAAAGTAAATTTTTATCGATTTTCATTTACTGCCTAAAAGTTAATACACAAGTAAGTTAATTTAATAAAAAATAATCATTTTAATTATTACAACTAATTAACTCTTTAAACAAAATCGTCAATTTTCGTCAATTTTTTGAAAAGTTTTGATCATTGAACATAATAGTAAAAATTGACTTTAAGTTGATTGACGATTTTTCTTTGAGTACGGTTTTAACGAAAGGGTATGTTTTAGAACAAACTTTTGAATTAGTATTGTTTGTAGCTAATTCTCAGGCCTCGGATATCTTGAAAAATGCGACTTTTTCAACTTCTTTTCTTGTCTTAAAAAAATATTTGTGTCAGAATTTCTCAAACGAAGCACCTAAAATTAAAAAATTTTCTTTTTGAACGAAAATATTCTTTTTTACTCTGATATGGATAAGAAGAATCCCTGAAAATATTAAGCCAAAAATTTTTTTTTGGCTAAATTAACAAATTTTTTCTCGAGATCCAATTGACGGATTTAAAATTTAAAATATGGGTTTCGTCTTGAATTGCACTATTCGAATATATACATATTTTGTTTTTAAATCTTTTTATTTTTTATAATTTTTTATATTACTTGTGTATAAAATGTAAATTAAAGGGGATAAAATTTCTAAGAGATCCCTCTAAACCAATTTTTGAATTTTAAATTGTTTATAATTTTTTTTTACTCAAAGTTAACAATTTGCAATATTTTTTTAGAAAAAATTATGTTTATTTTTTTATTTTTCATTGCAAATGAATAAAATCAATTTAAATTAATCTAGCATGACCACCAGACAAATAATAATATATAATACAATTTATTTAAATTGTTGCAAACAATCTTAATTAACAAATAGATAACTTTAGTTCTTTTTTATAAAAACTTGTTTTTTGCAGCCAAATTTATGTTTATCTAAGTAATCTATGTCGATTTTGGTAAAAAATTATTTTGAATTTAATAATTACCATTGTTGTAACAATCATATGAACAATAATGTAGTTATCAATAATCAAGCACGGAGAAAAATGAGTTTGCTATTATATGGATAGCGAATTTTTAGCTATTGCAGCTAATAATTAGCTGTTTTAGCAAAGAAAGTTAGCTATTTTAGCTAATTATTAGCTGCATTAGCTAACAATAATTGCTATCCATATAATAGCAATTAAGGTTAGCTAAGGTAGCTAAAAATTAGCTGAAATAGCTAACTATTTTTCTCCGTGAGTAGAGCTTTCATGACTTTAAACTCGTTAAAATAAGAAAAAAAAATTTATTTTTGCAGAAATAAGCCATTTATTTGTTTAAAAAGTAAATAATTTGTTTAAAACAAATGTAATTGTTTGTGCTAATAAATTTTTAAAGTTTTTAAAAGAATGTACATATGATATAAACATTTTTTGTTTAAAAAATGTCTAAAATGTTAACAAATATCAAAGAAACTTGATTATTATTTATAATAATTGTCAATAACAATGATAATTATTAACTTCTTAACCATATTAGGAGTAAAAAAAAATATTTTGGTTCAAAAAGAAAATTTTTTAGTTTTAGGTGATCCGTTTGAGAAATTCTGACCCATTATTAATATTTGTTGAAAAATAGTATCTTAAATATGAGAAGTATTATTAATTTTATTAATTACTGTTATTCTAATATTATTATCATAATAATGTATTTCGTTTGTAAACATTTATGCGTAGAATTTATATATATCATTTTATTTTTTTTAATTTTTTATAAAATATTAGATAACGTTTTATGACAAAATTTTGTTATTCAATTGCAATAATAAACCCTATGTTCGTAGAGTACATTGTTTTGTTATTTGAATTGAAAATATTCAAAATATTAAAATCGACTTTTTCGACTTTTTTCAACTATAAAAGTCGATCCGAGGCCTGAATTCTTGAAAGTCCTGTAAAATGAAAATAAATTTATCATCAACTAGCTAAAATAATGCGCGCGTGTGGTTTCTTTCTGTATGGTACGTAAACATACTTAAAAACATTTTTCATTTTCATATTAAATTATACTTTGAAAATAAAAGTAAAAATTATTATAAGCAATAAATGTAAAGAAATCTCATACATATGAGAAATATTGAAAAAACAAAATCATACACAAAAGTAATTAATTAATTAATTGAATTTTCAAAGAGTTACGTTTACAAGTTTCATAATCATCAAATTCCTCGAAAAATGTATAATTGTTCTTAACAATTTTATTAAAAATCGTCAAAAGAAATCAATTATTTAAAATTGATTTGATAAAATTCTTTATGAGAATTCAATTTTAAGAAATATTTAATTATTTAATAAATTATTTATTTTTGCATTTAAATATGTAATTGAATTCTCGTAGAATTTTCTAATAAAAATTGATTTAAAAATGAATTTCAGTTAAAATTATGGACTTGAATATTTATTATTAAAATTATTCAAATAATATTTGAATATTAAAAGCATTATAGCATGAATTTTAAGAAATAAATGAATTTTGAAAAGGTTTCAAATTAAATTTTTTTAGATTAATAAAAATATTTTTGAATTATTTGAAAAATAAAGATAATATTATTAAATTACGAAATAGTAAAAAAATGAAGAAGTAGGTATATAATATTATCTATCAAAACATATAAAAAAAACAAAAGCATGCACAAATGTCTAACTTCATGTGTGGACAGATTGGATAGAATGGACAGAATACGACAATTATTATAGTTAATTAATTAATTTTTTATTTTCATTTAGATAAATTATGTCAGATATGGACACATTCGATGACCTTGGGCCAGGTACTGAAACGGTACAAGGAGGTTGGTCGGCGGAATTGCCGGAAATAAAACTTTTTGGTCGATGGAATTGTGAAGATGTACAAGTCAGTGACATGTCATTGCAGGATTATATAGCAGTGAAAGAGAAAAATGCGAAATATCTTCCTCATTCTGCCGGAAGGTATGCAGCTAAGCGCTTTCGTAAAGCTCAATGCCGTTATCGAATAGCCTTATGATGCACGGACGCAATAATGGAAAAAAGCTTTTGTCTGTACGAATTGTAAAACATTCTTTTGAGATTATTTATCTGCTTACAGGTGAAAATCCCCTTCAGGTGAGATTTATTTTCTTATTGTTTAGAG